TTGGAGGCTGCCTGGGGTGGGAAAACCGTGGGGCATTGAGGGGCTGAGTGCCCCCTTGGGGAGTGCCCAGCTCACAAGGTAGCCTGGGGGCTCCTGGGGCACAGGGATGCAGGCAGAGGGGCATCAGGGTGCAGGCAGTGGGGCAGGTTGCAGGCAGCAGACAGGGTGTGCTGCTGTGGCCAGCCCTGCCTGTAGCACAAGCACGCTGGAGGCAGGGCACCCCAGCCAGAGTTGGGCAAGGCAGAATCACCTACCTCATCTCTGATCCCCCCCCAGCAAAGGGGGCAGCAGGACCCCAACCAGGTCTCCTGCTTCCCTAGCACAGACTTGGGGCAGAGGTGAGCTAATTTGCATTAAAAATATTCGAGCTAGAAGCCAGAAGTCTTAAAACAACAAACCCCCAGATAAAACTAGAGGCAATTTAAGGCAGACCTGCTCTGCTAAAACAAAGTAAACACCCGGGTCTCCAGCGAGTGTCATTTATTTTTACACAGCTGAAAATATCAGACACCACTCTAAGACTGTTCCTATTTATAAAGCACTGGAGGGAAGTTGCCTTGATTAATTCTGCTCCATGTGTCACTCTGTTTGCAATAAACTCGTCCAAATCCCCCTTTCCCCTCCCCTTTTTTTCCTTTTCACAAAGCCTGATGTTCCAAGCTCCCTCCCTTGCGGCAGGCAGTACAGGCAGGGCAAGCAGGGCAGGCAGCAGTAGAGGTGGTGGTGGTCTGCCCTGTCCCGCACAGCCTCCCCAGCAGTGTTACCATCACAGACAGCTCAGCTCTTACGGTTGTCCCATCGTGCAAGACGCGCACTTCACCAAGGACCGGCTCTCCTCTACTGCCGCAGCGTGGAGCGAAACCTTTGCCAGATGCGTGCAGGGCTGCTCAACTCATGTCCCGATAACATCTCCCGTTTCCTGGAGCCTCTGTGGAGCAGGGCTGGGAGGGCTGAAATGTGCCCATGGGTGCTGGGTGGGTGCCGGGCTATGCAGCACTCCCAGCCTCTTCATCAGTACATGTGATCTGCATGCATACGGGGGCCAACACTGCTCAGTGAGGAGCCAAGCTACCAGCCTCCTCCCACACATCTCATCCCTCCAGCCCCATCCACATGCTTTACTCCTTCCACAGCTCTGTATCTTCAACACCCCTTGTTCCAGTCCCCCTCTTATGGCTACTGAGTGCATGCACACGGCTGCAGGGGCCATGCTAGAAGATGTTCCCAAAAGCCTGAGGAGGCATGCACCAGCCGGGGAAGGGGCTGTTGGCATTTTCCACCCCCAAGGCAGAGTGGCTGAGGGAAGGATAGCTGGGGAGAAGGATGCACGTAGGGCACCAGGTCTCCAAGGAGCATGCAGGCTCCCCTGGGATGGACATACTCTGAACAGAGCACGGCGAAATTCCTCATTAAATATGGGCATGGGGAGCTGGAGGTGTTCCTGCTCTCTTCCAGGACCACATGCCATGGGATGGAGTGGGCTATGGTGCAGGATGATCTATTCCCCTATGCTGACATGCAGGAGAAGACCAAGGTCCTTGGGGCTGCAGGGTGAAGGGTGGCCTGAGGAGGAAAAGGGCTCCTTCTTTCCCT